GAATACTTAAAGTTTCCTCCTACTAGTAAGATTTCGTTTGATACGCAAATTATCGTCGTATGTTTTACCTTTCTCAAGTTATTGTTAGTTAATCACGAATCCATCACATAGCTCTCTTCCACCCATGGCGTAGTTATGTTCATATTGTAATATTTCTAATTAAGTTGATCTGTGGTCAAGATTCAACTCTAATAAGTCATGTTATAAAATTGAACTGTCTTTTTAGGAGTTATTTTCCTACTGTGTTCTACCCTGGCTATTAGATGAGCATAAGTGAAGTGGATCATGAGAATACAGACGGAGATAATACATAGAAATGATAAAAAGTTGGTGTGAACGAATCATTATCAATCAAATGTCTGCCGCAAAATTTACATAAAACGATCTGATCACTGTTGCATAATTTCGTATTCACTTATGTATAGATTATGGTAAAACATATTACTGGTATTTTTATTGTCCACTTCTTTTTATCTTTAGGATACTGATAAATCGGATCTAATATATCGAGTACGCAAATGTCCGTTGTGTGAATTTCACTGTACAGGTACAATTGGAATTCACACTGTCCTTATACAAATGGAGCAATGAAATGGATCATATACATAATGGTTTGTATTCATTTTTCTAATTTAATTCGTTAATTTTTATATACTTGTTTGGATAGGAACATAGTTTTAAATAAATGGACAATTCCTGTTGTGCAACTCACGGTTTATATGAGAAGACGACTATTTTAATGTTTACATTTGAAATCAATTACTTATAGCACATGTTTACAGATTTAACATTCTATTGTATTTGTAAAATAATATATTGGTAATAAGATATGTAAAAAAGCTTTTGAATGCCGAAATCCAAACGATTATTCTATGGGCGTACTTGGAAATACTAAGAATGCGACTTATTTATATCAGTGACTGTTATGGTATAAGTGAAGGTGTTTTGAGTTATTTACGACCTATTTTTTTGCCTTGATGTATTTGTTAACCAGCCCTCAATGCATAGTTATACTAATTTGGTTGAATAATTTATGAATAAAAAGTTAGTAATAAATATTCATATTTCCGGTTTGTAAGCTTGTGTCCATATTTTTTGACATTTGTTGGCTTAAAGAGTTGGGAATCGGTCTTGGGAACAAATCATTATTTCAGCTGTCTCAGTTATAATCAATACTTTATCAAATTAGTGTAGTCTTTACAACATTCATTAGTACATTTCATACATAATTTCTGTTCTTTCGAGATTCTAAAGGTTTTTTAAAATCATTTAGTTTAGAATTAAGTTGTTTTCCTTATTCCTTTAGTTGTACTACCGTATCTACGGTACTATCTCATTAAGAGATAATTAATCTAATTATTTCTAACTTCGTGAAATGCATCTTATCAAAATAAATACGATGCATAGGATTTTTTGACATCGTCTCTTTGTTAGTGAGATACCAGTTTTACATCATTGTGTAACCACTGAAGTTCGAAAGGATATGGATTGTATGGAAGCATATAAATTAGGTTCCATTCACTGTTAAATAAACAAACTAGAATACAGTCTTTTTGGATACCAGTCAATTTATTGACTTGAAAAGCACTAAGATAAGTTGAATGAGTTATTAACAACGTAATTATATTGATTATCGAGTGAATAGTAATGTAACTAATAATTACTAGATATATTTGTACAAATGGTTAAAACTAACAAATGTATAATTCAAAGTGACATATATTCAATTGAGATAATAATCAATAACGAGTAACGCAGACTAATTGAGGAGAAATATGACAAATTGTTACAAAAACTTCCATAGTTTGGAGCTAATTTGTCAAAAAATCTATGATTCGTTTAAGTGCTCAATCCTTTTTTTGAGAAATTATTTAAGTTTCATCAGAGTACAAAGGCATTTCACCTGTTTATGCACAGTTAAGTTGGCCACGGTCTAGGAATGTGATCAGATTTGTTATTACAGACAATGTAGAACCATCTGTTCAGAGTATATATATGTCAACAGGTTAGCTAAAACTCAAAATGACCGGTAAATCTCCTAAAGTTTGGCAGAATAATTCCGAACTACTTATGAGTAGTCAGAAGCGGGCCTACAAAATACTGGTGGTTCTTAACATATGCGTGAGAGGGATGAAGTCTGAGTTACAAAAACATGGTTTATCAGACAATCCTAGTATTAAGTTAAATAAGAAAAGCGGCTTTTTGAAATGTACATATATCAAAGTTGTGGTTTCGTCAGCCTGAATATAAGCCTGCCTGGAGTGCGAGAAAACTCGAGACCCGCTGTAAAACGTCACAGAGATTTAATCAAGAAAACATACTGACAACAATTAGGCCCCACATATATTTAGATAGTTATCGTTGTAAAGCTATAACTGTTAACGAGTGACAGGTTTACTTCGAATAACTGAGACTAAATCTATACATCTACTTAAAATCCAAAGTATAATCTACACTAGTAGAAGTCGTCAGTTTGGTTTTCAACTTTAAATGTCTCCTAGAAGACAGTGTAGAATGTTTTGTACTAAACATGAGGATAATTGAATAACTTATGTAAGTATATTAGTCTATATATATAACGACCAGTTGATATCGAGGATGCTTTGGACTGAACTAGTTTGATGACCATTTGTCAAATAGTATTATAAACCATCTAGAGATAATTGAGGTGGAGACTTTAATTCAATACTATCTCATGTTTTCAGTAACACAAGTACTTAGTACAGTCATCTGAAAATGTTTCGTTAAATATAACCAATTTCCGAAGACATACACTAACAACAACAGAATTATAAGTACAGTAAGTGATTAATTTGACTATTTTCTGGATTTTACTTGATAGTTGTCACCTATGATAATATATACTGGAAGTGACAGTGTATACATAAACTCTATAAATATATTCCTCAATATAAATGTTTATGATTCTATCTATTGAAAAGTCTTATGGAAGTGCATTCTACTGAAGGGAGGGACAAAAAGTAGCTTAACACTTTAAAAGATCTTGATTCAAATACTGATGGTTATTTTATGGTGTAGATTGAGCATTCATCAGAATTTCTAATCCAATATGGGATTTAGCAGGGTTGTTCACTATTCCTATTTTTTAAACTTTGCATAAAACATTTCTCATAAGATAAGACTTGCTTTGTGTGACACTAAAGGAATAGATCAGCTACCAGATCTAATTATTAACTTGAGAAATATGGATGACGTTATTGCTACCTTGACGGTGTTGGAAGAGCTTGCCTGTCGTGATGAACCAATCGAGCTATAGTGACTAGAGCAAACGTTTCTCAAGGTCCTAGCATGCCAAATGGGTCGATAAGACTAAGAGCGGCAAACCCAAGGTCTGAAGGCGAAGTCATACTACTGACTGTACAGAGTTGTGACGGCAGTAAGATGTTTCCTTCAGACAACCAGCATAACAGTGGTGCTGCCTTTCCACAAAGAGGGGTGTGGTTAGAAACGGTCGATCCTAAAAATGCACACCTCGTCTTATCCTATGGAATTCCATCCTCGGCGGTAAGGTTTCAACAAGTACGGAGCTCACACGAAAATTACTCATAAAAAGGTCGTGTGTGACCGACCTCAAGTAGTTGTCCCTTGGGCACTGCAGTCACGCTCTCGGGTCACTAAGACAACTTCTAATCCAATTTCCTTTTCAGGTACCTCCAGAATAACCCTCCCATGGTGTGGGCAACCGTGAAGTGATAACCACCCTCATACCTCTAACAGCACTCAAAATCACTGTATTCATAATAAACCTCTCTCTTCAATTCCTATTATTCATCCTACACAGACTTTCAACTCTATACTTCCTCCTCAAGTGTCACCATAGCCAACGATCCTAGTGCTCAAAACACTCCCAGGTCTACAGAAACCTCGCTGTCCGGCAAGACTGTCCACTATATCCATTTTTTTCAAATTCATCATAGACATACTGCTGGAAATAACGCTCTCGTCGACTGAATTCTCGGGCATTGATCTACCAGGAGGTCCACTCATCGACTTATAATATGTAGATCGTATGGTCCTGTTTCGCGAAGACGCTGATAAAATGCAGTCTTTTAATGACACTGAGCAACAATGCCAGAATGTTTGGGAAGTAGTCGAACGCGTCGACAACTTCACTTACCTTAGAAGTTTGATCAGCATTAATGGATTGGTGTCTGACGAAATTTCTGCACGGATTCGAAAAGCTCGTTTGCCTTTTGCCAACTTACGTCACCTATGGCGAAGGAGAGATATCCACGTGTTACGTATGTCTGAACGCCGATTACCACGACGTTTAATGCTGACTAGTGTTGGGGATAGTTGGAAGGAAGTTAGGGGCTGCCAAACCAAAACGTGGCATCAGTCCTTGAAGTCAGTAACTTCTGGTCTGAGCAATGTTGTTAGATGCAGACTACTTGGTTGGGGTCCGCGTGACTATCGTAACCAATGGTTGGAGACTCTTATTGGCATGGCTCAGAATCGATCACAATAGTGTAGGTGTATACACTCTTTGTCTTCCCTTAAACCGTGATATTAAAATTGCTTTAACTTTCTTTCTGCGAACTAATTCTTTCTCCTTGTATCATATCATTATATGCAATCTTTCTTTTATATATTATTACCATTGAATTAACTACTTCTATGAATTCGGTGTTCATCTTGTTGTGCTAATGAGGTATGGCAACTTGGACCGATGCATATATGGCCTGGTCCTACGTTGTAGATTACTGACTGACACTGTTGAGTGATATAGCTCATAATAGCACCTTAAAATACGTTTACTTTTTATGACACGAAGTCATCCTTTCTTCTAGAATTATATTATTTATGTCCAATGTTTGCTACTACTAATAACAATACTATTACTACTTGGACGTTTGTCTTGACAGTATCATCATGCTGTGCTAATATAATGTGCCCGATTGAATATATATATATATATATATATATATATATATATATATATAGAGAGAGAGAGAGAGAGAGAGAGAGAAGAGAAAGAAGGAGGGGTATGTTTGTTGGTTTTATTGGAAACAAATGCTAAAAAGGTACAAATACCATCATCACTATCATTAAATGTAAGAATAATAATACTAAAATTAAATTACAGTATAAGAAGTAAAGTTGATAAATTGGTCTAAATTACAAAAGAAAAATAAAAGATATTTCACTTAATTTGACAGAGAATAAGTCTAATTTCACTGTAGTTCTTATTCATTTGCAAATCGATGATAAGCTAAACCTAAAAAGCACATCAACTGCCAACTAGTTATCGTCCACCATACTAAAAATCCAAATATACCACGTGAAATAATCATTCCATGAAATAAGAAATGATCCATAATTTGACTAAAGATATATCTAGCTTGCATAAATACAGTTGACCATGAAGTAAAATTATTTTGATTCATGAAATCAATTAAAAAATAATTAGTAAAATTATTTTGAATATTCGATACAAAAGATGGTAAAACATTTAATGTATCAGAAGAATATAGATATTGTTGTTGATGATAATCATAAGGTAACCATGATAGACCTGATAAATTTTTATATAAGCATAAAAGACATAAGAAAAGAAAACAAGGTGAAATATACTGTAAAGCGACTAGGTTTAAACAATAAAATATACTTGCAACTAATCGTTGTACTTCTTTATTTGAAGTTTGTCCTGCTTCATGGGTAAATTTATCCAGTTTATCTTGGGCAGAATTTAAATAAGCCTATTGTATTTTTTTAAAAACAAATAAAATTGAATTTGAAATAAGTATTGTTATTAGTACATTTGAATTACTCAATTATTTAACAATAACAAGAAAAAAGTTGATTAAGTTATATTGAAACCAAATGGTAACGAATTCGATAGATTGAAAATCTTAGTTATTCTAAGAACACTACTTATGGTGGAGAAAAAAGTGCAGAACACCTAGAATCAGTAATGTTGTAAGAGACTATTTAACTACGAGGTAAAAACTTTCGAAGCTATTTTTTACGACTTTATTTACATATATTGATTGCATTTTTATTAATTATTTTCTTATTACCATAGTTCTAAGCTTTTATTTGAACCGTAATTTTTTGCTATAGCATCTTCCACTTGTGGTGTATGCTACTTATGTCGACAGACATAAATAGTATGTAACACCAGTCGGAAGTGGAAAACTGAACAGAAGAAGGTTAGGAAGATTGAGTTGAAGAGGATAGAAAGGGAAATAGAAAGGAATTATGAATTGGAGGAACCATACAGAATGTCAAGGAAAAATGATGGAAATTTGCAAATTAAGTATTCTATGTATGGTTGACATATTTTACCAAAATATTCTGTAATTTTGTACCAAGCAATAAATTGGTTGTCCCCACCTAAATCTCGTTCACGACACACTTATTAACTACAACCAATTATTTAAGTACATAGTATTCCGTTTTCCCATCATTAATTTTGTTGTTCCGTTTTAATGCTGTTACCAAGTTGGTCTGTTGTATGGTCTGGCCTTGTATATATATAAATGAATGTCTGAAATATAATAATTATTTAGGGTCAGTGAACATTGGTCTTGCGTTTTTCCGCTTTGTTTGAAGCCATTTAGCATTGGGCCGACCGTTAGGGAAAGGGCACCAGTCTTCTAAGTCCTTGTTGCGTATTGGTTGGTTGTAGAATGTAACAAGTAACGGTATGGGCGACTAATGGAGATAGGTTGATTTGAAGATAGTTTACATTACAAGCTAACTTCAGTTGGAAAATTATTAAAAAAATAAAGAGTGGAGAGCTATTTAGTCCTATTTATGGAGCTTTCCAGAAGTGCGCACTTAGGGTCCTGTTAGGGATCGAAACCAGGAGGACCTTTATGACTCGCCGTGAGCGCTTGAATTTTTAAACTGTTGAGTTAGTACACAGAGGTCCGCATTTTCACTTTGATCAAGTCGAACTATTGTGTAGCCATTGTCCACTGACACTGGTGATATTTGTTTCAAGCCTGGCATAGCATCTCATTTGAAGATCGGAAATTTCGATTGAAATTAATCACTAGTGAGGACATTATTACTATTATTTGCATGGGTTTTTAGATGTTGTTTAATTACTAGTTTACATCACAGATCAACTTTTGGTAGAGAACCATCGAAGACAGGAAATAGAGAATATTTATTTCTACATAGTATGATATATCTTAAAGGTGAGAACCCATAGGTTCATGAATTTGGCTTTGATGATGATACTACTCAAGTGCTCAAACTGAAGTAAGTGAACATGTAACCAAATGATTAAAACAATAAGTCATTCCTCTAATGATAAGGTGTAATGGGACCTTCAAGTTACAATTTGCATACTTGTATACTCCTAAACTCTTTATACGCTTACATTATACACATGTACATAAAAGCATGCGATACACGTGATATATACATGGTAAAATATTAATTTCCAGTAAACCTGTATTCTCAACTCTTGAAATAACGCGTACAGAAAAGAGTTAAGGGTTTTCAATATAATTTACAAGGGATTTGAAGTTTATTGTTACAGGCTTTAGGTGGTATGGGTCAAAATCATTTACAGAGCTCAAAATTCATTAATTCGTTTTTTCATTGCCAATTATGTCATTTTCGTTACTTTCCTTTCCTTGACTTATCGTGGTATATAAGTAAGCCAAGTGATTTATGTGACGTGATTACTTATTAAGTAAGAATATGAGTGCTGTGTCCATGGCATAGAAACAATACGAGAGTAATTTGAAAAAAATATTCAAATTACTAATTTTATATCTAGTTTCATTACTAAGTAAAAACACTAGCAAAGAAAGTTTTATAGAAGCATCTCAAGAATTCCTAAAAACTATTCAGAAAAAAAGACAGTCACTCGTAAATTATCCTTTAAATCCATTTTACTGACAATAGTACATATGAACTAAACAATGAGCATAAAAAACCAGACACATACTTGTAATGTCCAACGAACAGTGGAAAGACGAAAGAGTACAACTGCCAAAGATACAATTAGTCGAATACTATCCAAATGTTTCATGAATAGATTAGACATAAAGTTGATAATTATGATGAGAAAAGGTTTTCCAGTCAATGAATTACTATGCGTGAGCGTAATCAATGAATTAGAAATATGATCAGTGATTGGAATAAGCCAAAGTAAAATAGGAACTATTGGACAAATGAAATTCAGATGTACTATGATACGTTTGATTACTGACATTGGACATTGTCTAAACATAGAAAAATGATATAAGAATTAAATGACATTAAAGTGCTGTCGATTACATTACTGTTTATTATTTATTAAACAGCTTTCTACTAGGTTTTACGAAATTACTCTTACTTACTTACTTACTTATCGCTGTTACTCCCAATGGAGCATAGGCCGCTGACCAGCATTCTCCAACCCACTCTGTCCTGGGCCTTCTTTTCTAGTTCCATCCAATTCTTGTTCATTTTTCTCATGTCTATTCCCATCTCTCGGCGTAATGTGTTCTTTGGTCTTTCTCTTCTCCTTTGGCCTTGAGGATTCCATGTGAGGGCTTGTCGTGTGACGCAGTTGGGTGCTTTCCTCAATGTGTGTCCTATCCACTTCCAGCGCTTCTTCCTGATTTCTTCCTCCGCTGGGATCTGGTTTGTTCTCTCCCACAGTACGTTGTTGCTAATAGTGTCCGGCCAATGGATCTGAAGTATTTTGCGTAGACAATTGTTAATAAACACCAGTATTTTCTGGATGATAGCTTTCGTAGTTCTCCAGGTTTCTGCCCCATACAGTAGAACTGTCTTGACATTTGTATTGAAAATCCTGACCTTAGTGTTGGTTGACAGTTGCTTTGAGTTCCAGATGTTCCTCAGTTGTAAATATGCTGCTCTTGCTTTGCCGGTCCGCGCCTTCACATCTGCATCAGATCCACCCTGTTCATCAATGATGCTGCCCAAATATGTAAAGGTTTTTACATCTTCCAAATCTTCTCCGTCAATTGTGATTGGATTGGTGCATTCTGTGTTGTATCGGAGAATCCTGCTTTTCACTTTGTGTATATTGAGACCTACTGCTGCTGCTACACTGATCGTCTTCTCCTGCATTTGTTGTTGCGTTTGGGATAGAAGGGCCAGATCGTCTGCGAAGTCCAGATCGTCCAACTGCATCCTAGATGTCCATTGTATCCCGTGCTTCCCTTTAGATGTTGACGTCTTCATGATCCAGTCGATCACCAAGAGAAAGAGAAAGGGTGAGAGTAAGCAACCTTGCCTAACACCGGTCTTCACTTCGAACGACTTTGTCAACTGTCCTCCATGCACGATTTTGCAGTGTAATCCATCATACGAACTTTGTATGATATTGACTATCTTCTGAGGCACGCCGTAGTGTCGAAGAAGTTTCCATAGTGTTGTTCTGTCCACGCTATCAAATGCCTTTTCGTAGTCAATGAAGTTGATGTAGAGTGATGAATTCCATTCAATTGATTGTTCCACAATGATCCGTAGAGTTGCGATTTGGTCTGCCTGTTGGTCACGAAGTTGGGCGTCTACGCAGTCCTTCATCCTGTTTAACAATACCCTGTTGAAGACTTTTCCCGGTATTGAGAGAAGAGTGATGCCCCTGTAGTTATCACACTTGCTGAGATCGCCTTTCTTCGGTATTTTGATCAAGGGTCCTTCTTTCCAGTCTTTTGGTACTTGTTCCTCATCCCAAATTTTATTGAAGAGAATGTGGAGTATCCTTGCAGTTGCCGCTACGTCTGATTTCAGTGCCTCTGCTGGAGTGTTGTCCGGTCCTGCTGCTTTGCCACTCTTGATTTGTCTGATGGCCATGCTGATTTCTTCAATTGTTGGTGGGCCAACATTGATTGGGAGGTCCGTGGGTGCTGCTTCGATGTTGGGTGGGTTCAGTGGAGCTGGTCGATTCAAGAGTTCTTTGAAGTGTTCTACCCACCTGTTTTGTTGCTCTTCAATGTTGGTGATTACCTCGCCTTCCTTGCTTTTCACTGGTCGTTCTGGTTTGCGGCGATTTCCAGAGAGTTTCTTTGTCGTGTCATACAAATGTCTCATATTTCCTTCGCTTGAAGCCTTTTCCGCCGTCGTTCCTAGATCTTCCACATATTTACGTTAGTCGGTTCTGATGCTCCTCTTCACTTGCTTGTTTACTTCTGTGTATTCAGCTTGTGCCTTGGCTTTTTCCGCTCTTGTTCGACTGGTATTGATTGCTGCCTTCTTGTTCCTCCTTTCTAGAATCTTATCCAGTGTATGAACAGTGATCCATTCCTTGTGATGGTGCTTCTTGTGACCCAGGACCTCATGACATGTTGAAGTGATTGCCTCTTTGATCCTCTTCCAGTTGTTCTCCACAATAGTTCCTTCTCCATTGAGTAGATCATGAAAGGCCTGGAACTTGTTGCTGAGGACTATCTTGAATTTGTTGAGTTTGTTAGTATTCTGAAGAAAGGCCGTATTGAACTTTTGTGATATTGTCCGCCCCATTGTCCAGTGCTTCTTGAGTTTCAATTTCATCTTGGCCACTAGCAAGTGATGATCTGATGCTATATCAGCTCCTCTCTTGGTTCTCACGTCCTCTATAGTCCTCCTGAACGTTTTGTTGATGCAAATATGGTCGATTTGGTTTTGCGTGGTGTGGTCCGGTGAAGTCCATGTGGTTTTGTGTATGCGTTTATGTGGGAATATGGTGCCGCCTATGACCAGTTTATTGAAGACACATAGGTTTGCAAATCTCTCACCATTTTCGTTCCTTTCTCCCAGTTCGTGTCGTCCCATGATGTCTTCATATCCAGTGTTGTCCGTTCCAACCTTGGCATTGAAATCTCCCATCAGAATGGTCAGATCCTTTGTTGGGCACTTCTCGATGATTGACTGCACCCTGTTGTAGAATTGATCTTTGGCGTCTTCATTGTGGTCGTTGGTAAGCGCATAGCATTGGATGATGTTCATTGAAATGCCCTCTTTCTTTGTTTTGAAGGAGGCTTTGATGATCCTTGGTCCATGAGATTCCCATCCTATAAGCGCATTTTGCGCTTGTTTGGACAGCATCAATGCAACTCCTTGTGTATGTGGGGCATTTTCTTCTTCATGGCCGGAGTATAACAGGAGCTCTCCTGTAGTTAGTCGTTGTTGTCCAACTTGCGTCCAATGTGTTTCACTGATCCCAAGTACCTCTAGGTTGTATCTTCTCATTTCTGCAGCAATCTGGAAGGCTCTTCCGGTGTCCCACATTGTACGAACATTCCATGTACCTAAATAAATGTTCGCTCTGGTTGTCAGAAGGGGCATCGGCCTCGTAACTTCCGAAGGGATTCGGCTTTCATCATGAGGCGTCATAGTTCTTCTAAATGAAGATCTTCTGACTCCCAGGGCAGAGTTTAAAAGGTTTGAATAATTTTTTCTGGTTAGCGTTTTTTAGCGAGTTAGTTTTCTACGGGATGGGGACGCTAACCCCATGCCCAAACCTCCTCCTTTATCCGGGCTTGGGACCGGCAGTATCCCCCGGAGGGACTCCAGGCGGAGTTTTTACGAAATTACTCACTTAGAATATTTAATTTTTAAGATAAGGAAGGTTCTTATTCTTGTGGTATTTATAACAAATATTTTCACTGAGATTTCTAGGAACAGTTTTTATTTGGTATTTATTTCATGTTCAGGTACGAAAGTTGAAGAGTAACTGGTTTAATGGAACGTGAGTAACCTTCTACGGGCTTCTTTGATAACTGGTCTGACTCCGATTGTTGCTTTTAGAAGCCATTTCATAATAATTAATTTCTACAACCCTACCGATCAATCAGTTTCCAGGCACTGTTTAAAGATTGTTGTATTTCAAGCAGGTAGAAAGGGTTGATAAAGCAAGAACATTCACGTGGCGTACTGTGTGAAATAAGCAGAAAGTGTGCATAGATTCAGTCGGGATGACAAACATAGTATTCATTGTTCGAGCATTCAATTAGATATTCAAAAGCATGAAAAAGCATAGCTTTGACACAGATAACAACAGACAATTTAGATAGATCAAAAACAATGGTAATGATAAAATCAAAAGCTTTACAGTGTTTTTTTATATGCTATAACCTTTCTGTCAACGATTAGTAAGGCGATAAGACTTAATTTCACTCATTGTGGTGTATGCCACCTATATCGACGGACATGAGTAGTGTGTAACATCAATCGGACAAGGAATGCCTGTCAAAAGAAGGGTGAGAAGACTGAACTGAAGAAAACTGAAAGGAACTGAGAATTGGAATAATCATGAAGGTTGTAAAGTACAATTGATGGAAGATTTGCAAATGAAGTATTTAATGTATTGTTTCCACATTTTACGAAAGAACTAAACAATAAATCAGTTGTCCCTACTTGACTTCTCCGCTCTCTACAATATATTTATTATTAATCACTTAGAGTTAAAAAATATTTATCGAAGAATCAGACCAGCAAAACCATGGATTAATTACAGGACTTTGTTCCAGAATATGTAGACGTTATATATTCTCAACATAAACACATTTTACAGTCTGGCATCTTCACCCTCCGCCAAATGTTAGAACACCGTCATACTTATCAAAGGCCAACAATCGTTGTGTTTCTTGACATCAGGGCTGCCTTCGATTCGTTGGACAGGACTGTTCTCTGGGATTGTCTATTGAAGAAGGGTGTGCCTGAGAAGTTTATTAACATCCTAAATGCCCTATATACAAACACCTCAGGTAGAGTGAGGGCATACAACCACATTTCTCCATTGTTCCATCCATGAAGTAGAGTTAGGCAGGGTTGCCCAATCTCACCCTCCCTTTTCAATCTTGCCGTCGAAGACATTCTGGAAACAACTCTGATGGGCGTAAGTAGTGGTGGTGTCGATCTGTTGTCTGGAGAAAGACTTCTCGACCTTGAGTATGCGGATGATATTGTCTTATTGTGCGATAATGCCCAAGCCATGCAATCCGCACTTAATCAGTTGGGAATCAGGATTGCTGACATCCAGTGGCAACACCATGTTGGTAATACAGAGGTTCGGCATCGTGTGTTCGAGCACAGAGACAATAATCCAATCGGTGTCACCATCTTGAAACACCGACTTCGGTGGCTTGGACATGTTCTCCGAATGTCGTCCCAGAGAATTCCACGTCGAGCATTATTTGCCGACTCTGGAACTTGTTGGAAAAAGAGGAGGTGGTCAGTGTATGACATGGTGTCGTAGTATGAAAGAAAGTTGCAAAGGGCTGGCTTCTGTTGGTCCTTCTCGACTCCCTGGCTGGGGTCCGAGAGATGGTGCAACACAGTGGCTTGAGACGTTATCAGATATGGCTCAGAATAGAAGCCAATGGCTATGCTGCTGTGACCTTCTTTTACTTTCTTCCTAAAAAGTGGTTGTGTCTTCCTTAACTGAAAGAATTCTTCTGGTTGTACCTTTCCGTTTCCCCTACTATTATTATTATTACACTACCATACACTAAGATGTGGTCGTTATTGTTCTTTTTTCTTTCTCATACGCACTTTAACTTCTTTTTCTCTTCACATTCTCATTGTTTCGTGTGGCGCATATATATCTGGTGCCCCCTTGTACCAATATTCATGTGTTCAAATAAATAAATAAAATTTACAGTCTGGTACGAAAAGCCTAGGACACTTAATTTCTACTGTGAAACTAGGGTACTGATAGTTTTCTAGAGCCTGAAGTCTAAAGGGAATGAATGATTTAATAAACGCTACTTGGATAATCTACAAAGGAATTAAAATACAAGCACAGTAAATGTGATTAAAAACCGATTATTATTCACTACAAAATTTACACGTACTTAACTGTGTCTAAGTATATCTTCCCAAATTTTATTCCTGGATAAACAAACAGTGAACCAATTATACAGGCTATAACAGCTAGAATAAAATTAAATGCACCCCAACTAATAATTGGAGATTTAGAAGATGAGAATTCTCCAAAAGTCAAATTCCCGTAAGCAGCTTGAAGACCAAAGTCAACCAACGTTCCATCAAGGGAAAGAATTAAAGTTGCAGCAACGAGGAAGAAAAAGCCAGCTGCAAGGATGAGTATGCATTCACTTGAAGGTATGTTTGTAAGTGCTGTATTTGTAGTGAATTTAGAAGATCGAGATTCGATTTTTGTGGCATTATTTTTAGATTGAAAGTATATTGCTGTTAAGGAAACGAGAGTGCGAATGGTGAACCAAAGGCTTAAAGTCATCCAAACTAGACTTAAATTGATACGTACATTGAGAGATACGGGATAAGAAGAATCTTGTTTTGTATTGGCACGTGACAGTTTTGTTTGATTTCGGTCAAAACCCTCATACCATGGGATGATACAATTATAGGCTACTTCGTTAATTAAATATACACAAGAAGCACAAACGGTGAAGTCGACTAGCCATTGGTGACTAGAATATAATGGTAAAATGGCTATATCAGAAGTAGATACATGTGATTGCTTCAAATGAATGGTTGTGGAGCGGGGAAAATAGAAAGTATCAGAGTGACAAGTTGTTCCATTGGGGGATCCAGAAAGTAAGTCATTTCTCTTTCTTTTTCCTGAAATAAAAAAGAGGTTATGTTTCAAGATGGGCGATATGTTGTAGAACGTACTCTCAGTTACAATTTTTATGACGTAGCAAATACAACATTAACACACGTCCTTGCAATATCCCTTATGGAATTGGATGGTCACTAATTATACATTTTATAGATTATTTAAATATGCGACAAATGCCTAACTTGCAATTATACTTGGTAGAAACATATTTATATGGTGGGTTGTTATATTTCTCTCTTACGGTTATAACCCAGCTATTCCTATTGCTTAGTATTTTCGGACACCGATTCACTCGACAAGTCCCCAAATCAGAACACGGTTGGACAGGAAAGAGATTATATTCCAAATAACAAGGTTAGATGGAAGTAAGAAGCAAGTGAGCGCAATAGGGAAAACGTTGGTATATTTATAGTTTTTCACATGAGATTTCTAGTGTTCACTAGGTATTGGCATGCACCAAAGCGATCGTGCACTGAGCATGCTTTAGTCCAGTCTATGTCCCGCTAACAGTGGGTCAATGGTAAGATTTATCAGTCGCACTTTTTTAGGTTTCACGGATGTCTTATACTTTTATTTAATAAGAAGTAAACTGAAAAGGCCTAGATTGAATTGTGAAAAATAGTGTTAAAGTGATTACATCCAGATTTTCACGTTGTGTTTGATTGCTTATGTAAAGAGCTTCTGGTTGATTATTCTTTTGAAGTGGTTAATTACAACACACAGCAGTTTAAATACTGTAGGTTGTGTAGTTCATGAGGGGAATATGTAAATACAATAGGCCTTTCGTCACAGTTTGTAAGTACTTTAGATAATACCCACCCTCTCATACAGATATTGATAATGGACTTCAAATGTTTGATTGAAAACATCGTCGCTTAAGAAATAAGCTGCTGCTCCACATTCAGGTCTCCTTATTCACTAAGGAGCATATATTAATTTAATTTGTGGGAAGTAAGGTATATTTTGACGAGCAATAATGTCTCTACTAATTGTTGGAGTTCAATAAGTAAACCCATAACTTTCGATAGACATGTAAAATTGTAAAAGGTAGATATACAAAATGAAGGAATATTTTCTACGATTTGAACCTTTTTAAAGTAATTATAGAGGTTTTTAAATTATTTTCGTAGTTTAAATGAAGAAAGAGTTATGACAGAACATTAAGTTTGTATTAATTCACATTTGTCACAGGAGTCCTTAGGATTTTATAAAGACCAACTTCGCAGTTTACTGATTAGGACTAATGTCATCATGATACTGAGATTTAGTGGATTTTTGGTCAGATTCCTGATTGACGTGTCAGGTCTTAGGCACCACATTTTATAATTAGGTCGCCGGTAAATTCCCTTCATCTTCACACAACTGTTTAAACAGTTTATCCAATACACTAATTTTTATGCGGCTTCCAGATCTAACTTAGACTCCTAATTTTTCGATACAGAAGTTATGATTCAAATCTAGACTAAATTTTCGAGAAGTCTCGACATTCATGGATGAGTATCTACATATATTTCTTGAGGTTAGAAGTCATAAATATGGAATGTATAATGTAGGCAAAAACTTGAAAGCACCTGATAACAATTCGCTTTGCCTAAACATCATAGAACAACAAACCCATTCATTGACAACTATTAGTGCTGGACGAAGTTTTAGATACAGTTTATGAAAAAGCTATCGAGATCGGGAAATGAAAACGACTGAGATGATTTTGGAATGACCCACATGTTTTCGGGAAACACTGAAAGTTAGGCTTTAATATAAACACCATAAGACATTAGTATCGTGTTCCGATAGTTAGATACACGGACATTGTGCCAATATTCTAGGAATTGGGGTCACTGATCTTATAACTGTTAAGTATAACTGATTTACATCCGTACCAACCAAATGCAAAAGTGGACCCACAAAAACACTTCGAAGGTTATTTTACATACAGAAAAAACTATAAGCTAGAAGGGAAACGAGTTCATAAAGCTGGTTTTACAGAATTCGTTTGATTTTGTCGTAACTAACATTCCAATTCTCAAAGAGACCATCTTAAAGACAAATCTTGTGCTTCAGCAATTAGATGAGAGCCCATTAGTCTTTGACAAAAAGAACCTAGGAAATTTTGACAGGTTGTGTGAAAGATAATTGAACGGAAAACAATGAATAGAATACGTACGCGATATGTCATCATCATTGGCAACCTAGAACAGCAGTGCAGCACTAAACTAAGTCTGCTAATGGACATAATTCTATGACGAGTGAGAAATTGACATACATTTTTACCCTATTATGTATATATTTTATATCGTCCAGTAAACATGATAAATGAGACCAAAGTAACTCAGATTTAAGTATCCGGGACATTTGTTCGAGAAACACATATGGAATACTGTAACGATATCGTGGTGGTGTATTTTTTGTACCTAATTTAGGACGAGCGACACGAAAGAAAATTTTAAGCTATAGAAACATACCTTTGATCTTTACTTTACAATTCCCACTAGCTTCTAGAAGTTGTTGATCTGTTGGTACGGCGTATCGCGTGAGACCCGTAATTAAGAAACGTGTAAACGAGAAGAAAGAAATGACTTTCGACAGAACACTTGCAGCCACTAGCGTTGTTGCCAGTTGTAACCCTAATACACCCATTAGAGTAACGCATAACTTATTGTTCGCACATCATACAATAAATTTATAATTCAATAAACAATATGTTCTTGATGAGCTAGTGTAAATTAACTGATTTCTTTACGCTCATGTCTTGATATTAAAAATACTGGGCTTTATCTTAGGTAGCAGTATGTTTTTCTGGTCATTTAGTGACGGATTGTTGGAGGTTAATTAATTTTGTGGACGAAGTTGACACAGAAAGGAGGGCTAGTCCCTCCAAAATCTACATTCCTTTTACTACTGATGAATTGCAGCTCAAGACGTTATTGCTAGTAGCTAAAGGGTATCTTGTAGCGGTAAATAAATCCCCAAAATAAATAGCACTAGGTTTTCGACATTGGATGCTGACCATATGTTTTAGTGGACTAATTTAGCTGAAGGCGCTCGGTCAGGCATCTGCACCAGATCACGTGTGGTAACGCCGTGCTCAACATCAACCGCAATCGCTAGCCAGATTAGATCAGAGAATTCCGATATATTGGTCATCGCCAAATATACTCTTCCGATCTCCTCGACTCTGTCTTTTGATTTTTCTGGGCGGGAACGAAATACATTAGAAGGTGTTACTGGTAGAAGCGTTGTCAAACACTGAATACCTGTGACATCATCATTGGTGAAACCGACGTGTTCTGGCACACCTAATTGCAACTGTGAGTCTGTTCCTTTTTGGGATTTTTATATATCATTGCCTTATTTTTATTATTTTTTTAAACATTGTGATTTTTTTTCGTGTTTTTTTCCTGGATATATATATATTTCCCCCTCGTTCATTATCGTACTTCATACTTCATCATGACCTAAAGTACTCAAGCTTAAGACTTTGTCCCCACCTTCGTTTCAACTGATGCCTTTCTGGCCCGACAACATCGAAGCCTGGTTTTGCTACGCAGAAGCCGACTTCTCCGAGCACGGCGTGATCGACACACGTGCACAATTCCTCGCAGTAGTCAAGGCACTACCGCGCGAATTCAACAGGTACGTAACACCTAGTATGTTTACTAGTGATGTTTCCGATCCTTACGAAATCTTAAAACGCTCGATTCTTAAACGAGGAGACCTAACCGATCGACAAAGGTTAGATCAACTCTTCAACAATATCGACCTGCAACACGGTTCTGCGACGGACATGTTGCAACGGATGACAGAGGTTATAGGCACAAGAACTTTCGACGAAGGTCTATTCAAACAACTTTTCTTGTCAAAACTTCCCCAACAGGTGCAAGCAGTTCTGGTCTCGTTCCAGAACAACGCCTTAGACGAGCTAGCTGCATCTGCCGACCGCATTCTAGAAATTACGAAATCTTCTACTACCGAGGTATTTTCAGTCAAAGAAAAGCCTCACACGACTCAGAATGACATAACCGAATTTTGTCATACACTCACGCGTTATCTTAATCTTCGTAACGACCGTAAGCGATCACACAACCCACGTAGAAGCATTTCTCGTAAGCGATCTGTCTCTAGACCACGAGAGACAGATAACCCCGACTGGTGCTGGTATCATAACCAGTATGGAAAGTTTTCCAGAAATTGCAGAAAACCCTGCAATTTTCCCAACACGAAACCGACTGATTCAAAAAGCAATTCGGGAAACTTCCAAGCCGGCACGCGTTAACGGCAACCGTAGCCGGCGAACAAAGCCGTCTGTTATTCGTCACAGATGTGACAACGAGAGTTCGCTACCTCGTCGACACTGGCGCAGAAGTTAGCGTTCTCCCAGCAAATCCTAACGACCGACTACACGAATCGACCCTAAACTTACAGGCGGCAAACGGAAAACCGATCGCTACGTATGGCAAAAGGTACGTTTACCTTAACGTGGGTTTACGCAAACCCATCCACTGGATTTTCGTTGTTGCAGATGTTTCCATGCCAATCATTGGTATGGACCTTCTACAACACCACAATCTGATCATCGATACGCGTAAACGGAGGCTAGTAGACGGAAACACTAATTTATCCGTTTGCGTAACTTTTACTGGTTGCAAATTATCCCCAGTCACAATTAAACATATGATAGATCCACTCTATCAGCCACTACTCGATAAGTACCCTGGGATACAACAAACTCAAACGAAACTACCGTGTGTAACCAGCAATGTTACACATCACATCACGACTACAGGACCACCTGTATTCTCTAAAGCACGCCGACTAGCTCCTGAAAAGCTAAGGTTAGCGAAAAACGAATTCGATCACATGATGGACTTAGGAATCATACGACCGTCAAGTAGCCCATATGCATCTCCGTTGCACATGGTCCCTAAAAAGGACAGCAACGATTGGCGTCCAACTGGTGACTATCGGCGATTGAACGCGAAAACCATTCCCGATCGTTACCCGTTGCCTCACATTCACGATTTGACAGCTACCTTAAAGGGTACAACTGTCTTTTCGAAAATCGACTCGGTTAAAGCGTATAACCAAATCCCTATGGCTACTGACGACATACCGAAAACGGCTATCATAACTCCTTTCGGACTCTATGAATTTTTGCGAATGCCTTTCGGTCTAAGGAATGCTGCTCAAACATTCCAAAGATTCATAGACGACGTTTTTCGAGGTCTCAACTTCGTACATGTGTATGTTGATGACTGTCTAATCGCAAGTCCGGACAGAGAATCACATCTCAAGCATCTGGATCTTGTTTTCGAACGATTACAAAAACATGGCATTACTGTAAACGTTCAGAAATGCCAATTTGGGACCGACTCATTAGACTTTCTGGGACACACTATCGATGCTCAAGGTATCCGACCCCTTAGAACCAAAGTGGCGGCCATTCTGGATTACCCAGAACCGACCACCGTCAAGCAATTACGCACGTTTAACGGCCTGGTAAGTTTCTATAGACGTTTCATACCCAAATGCCCATTACTCATGAAACCGCTAACCGACCAACTTCGTGGAAATACGAAATCCATTAATTTGGACGACACCGCACGAAAAGCATTCTCCACAGTTAAGGAACTGATTGCTAAAGCGACAATGCTCGCACATCAGGACACCCGAGCACCCATTAGCATCGCAGTAGACGCATCCGACTCAGCAATCGGAGGAGTCTTACAACAATGGGTTAACAACTCCTGGCAACCCTTGGCATTTTTCTCTAGAAGGTTGCTAGACACCGAATCGAGGTACAGCACATTCGGTAGGAAACTCCTAGCTATGTATTGTGCTGTACGACATTTCCAACACTACATCGAAGGTCGTGAATTCACTCTTTTCACGGACCATAAACCGCTCACTTTCTCGTTAAGCTCTCCTTCTGACAAGTACTCTCCCCGTGAGTCTCGACAACTGGACTACATTTCGCAGTTTACTTCAGATATTCAACACATCTCTGGAGCAAACAATGTAGTTGCAGACGCCTTATCTCGCATAACTTCCTTGAGCAGTTTCCAAGGAATCGACCTTCTTAAACTCGCCGAGCTTCAAAAAGAAGACAGTGATCTTCAGCACGAGTTATCGTCCACAACACTTAAACTACGCGTCAAACAGATGGGAACAGGTAAGGAAACCTTACTTTGTGACACATCTGCAGGTAGGGATCGCCCAATCGTGCCGAAACATTATCGACGCAATGTCTTCAACACATTGCACAAACTTTCGCATCCAGGTGTTCGTGCAACCATCAAGCTTATAGCAGAACGGTTTTGCTGGCCTGGCATGAATAAAGACGTGAGGGAGTGGGCACGCTCCTGTGTAAGCTGCCAAAAATCTAAGGTTATCAGACACAATAAATGTCCCTTAGGCTCGTTTAAAACTCCCGATGCTCGTTTCGACCATGTTCCTCTGGACTTGGCAGGACCTTTACTAGATTCAAATGGATACTCTTATCTCTTAACCTGCGTAGACCGTTTCACTCGATGGCCAGAAGCAATACCTATCAAGGACATCACTGCTGAAACAGTGGCCCGCACCTTCGTCGAACGATGGGTAGCAAACTTCGGCTGCCCTTCAACCATCACTACAGACCGCGGACGTCAGTTTGAATCCGATCTTTTCCGTCGTCTGACCACACTTTTAGGAATCACTCGATTCCGAACGACCGCCTACCACCCACAAGCAAACGGGTTGGTAGAACGTTTCTACCGACAACTGAAAGCTTCACTATCAGCTGCAAACGTTTCACAGTGGACGGACGCTCTTCCACTCGTCTTACTAGGTATCCGCAATGCAGTGAAAGCTGACATTGGATACACTGCGTCTCAACTCGTTTATGGAACGACACTTCGACTTCCAGGAGAATTCGTGGATCCTTCATCCTCTTCAATGAACATGGATCTAGCTTCCTACACGAATAGGCTTACAAACGCAATGCGTTCAGTTAAACCTGCTTCCACTCGACCACAATCAACCGATGTTTTCGTTCAACCTGACTTACGATATAGTACACACGTTTTCGTTCGTCGAGACTCGCATCGACGACCATTCGAATCAGCATACGAAGGACCCTTCAAAGTTCTTCAACGTGAATCTAAGTACTATATAGTCGATAAGAACGGAACCAACGATAGCATCAGTATCGATCGCTTAAAAGCAGCGTATTTAGAAGGAAATCCTATCTACGTGGATTTTCCTTCGGTACAATCGAACGACACGACTCCGACACTTATAATACCTCATCCAACAACCAACACACACGATGATACTTCGACAGTATACGAAAATAAACTTAAAACGACGCGTTCTGGAAGGAGAGTAAGATTTCCAGAACATTTAAACGACTATTGCACGTAAGGCAATTCTCGACATTTTATATTATTTTTTTTAAAAAAAAACAATTTTAATATGCTTATATATTTTTATTTCTATTTAAAAAAAACAAAACAAAAAAAACATTTTTTTAACGCTATTACGTGTTCATGAGTTTATTTTCCATTTTTCTTCCGCCGACATTGTGTTTTTTTTTACGCACATACGAGTGTTTTTTCGACATGCACTTACATTTTCTTTTTTCTTTTCCAGGACGGCTGGAAAAGAACGATGACGTTTATGAGGATCCGAAATTTTCA